CCCCAAAACCCCAAAACCCCAAAACCCCAAAACCCCAAATTTTGACAAAATTACTGAAGATATAGACATTAAAAATGGAGCAAGTTGACAAAAATGAAGAAGCTTTGCCTAAAATAGCTATCATTGGAGCTGGAGTTTCTGGGCTTATCTCTGCCAGACATCTTAAAGACATCGCTCACATCAAAGTTTACGAGTCCAAACATGACATTGGAGGATGTTGGCTGTACACAGAGGAATCCGAACGTAACCATCCAGATATCGACTCAAATGCTTACTACAAGCTCTACGGTCATTTGCAGTCATCACTGTATCACGGACTGTTCACTAACATCGCAAAAGAATTTATGACCTGGAAAGACCACTATCATCACGAAGACACTCCGTATATCATGCCTAGCGAAACCTTTCTTGAGTAAGTTTGATGCAAACCATAGGTACATGCGCGAGTATGTCAACAAGTTCGAACTTGCCCAGTACATCGAGTTCAACCGGACTGTCACATCGCTTAGGAGGTAGGCCCTGTATGATCTGTAGAGTGGAAGAAGTCGAAGAGACCAACCATAAATTTAAGATTGAGCATGTCCACACTAACATCAAGGAAGATTCAGAGGTCTCGGAGGAATACTTTGATTATATCATAGTTTGCAATGGACATTACTCAACTCCAAAAATTCCAGACTTCAAAGGAAAAGATAAATTCAAGGGATTTCAGATGCACATGCATTCGTTGAGAAGAATTGAGCCAGAAGATTTTGATGATAGAAATGTATTAATAGTTGGATCATGCTTAAGTGCGAATGATTTGTTAATCAATATCTTCTTTATTGAGAATACTAAAAACCTTGTTCATCCTAGAAAGATATTCATCACCAGTCGATCGACAACTTTATTAGAGAAATCTGAAGACTATAAGGATATTCAGGATCAAAATCTCCTTGAAATCAAGTCCGGAAATATTACTGAAATCAAAAAAGATTCAGTAGTCTTTGGAGATGACTCTGAAGAACAAATTGACACTATCATCTATGCTACTGGGTACAAATATTCTTTCCCATTCATTGACCCTGACCAGAAAATAGTAGAGTTTGATTCCAAGAGAACTAATGGCTGTTATTTTGGACCTTTGTACAAAAAGATGTTTTGAATCAATGAACCGAATCTATTCTTTATTGGTCTTGTCCAGTATCTTCCTTTAATGCATTCAACATTTGAAAGACAAATATTACTTGCTAAAGAAGTTATCCAAGGAAAAATTACACTTCCATCCAAACAAGAAATGCTTGATGATTTTACATTAGAAGTTCGGAATCATGAGCAGACAGACAAAGACATGAGTTATTTCTATAAGTTTGATCCTGAAGGATACAGTTTTACTGACTATAACAAAGATTTAGAGAAACTCACTTCAATGGAAGTCGATACTACAAACTATTCAGGTATATGTAGTCTAACTTTTTAGCTTTGATGCCTGCTTTTGATGCAAAGTCTGTAGTTATGAAAACAGGGAATGAACTCCAAGTTAAGAGCTTCGATTACTCACCATATCTTGGTGGCATTGATTTCAAACCCACAAGCAGTAAGTTTTAGAATTTCTCGTTATAAATTGAAAATAATTCTCATTTCAATTATTTAATTATATTTAGGGGTTTTGGGGTTTTGGGGTTTTGGGG